TACAATAGTTGTTGAATTCTTCCCATGACCAGCCCCTATTTTCTTATTAACTACCTCAATGAATGGACCGTCTACTTGGTCCAGAATCTGCCCCTGCTGGGCATTTACAACATTCGAATGTAGCTGTGTAAACTTTTGATTCAGAGGCTGCCCCTGTTGATTGTCCATGTCCATAGCCTGTTGTCCCTCATTTCTAGCTGGATTTACTTTTGAGATTGTATTGCTGTCTTAGATGAAAATCGCAGCAAATTAGAAGCTGTATAAGTCTGCCCAGCCCACATGTTCTTCATTTGTGCCGCCGGCATGGGAAGATTCAATGTCTTGCCATTTATGGTGTTCCCTTTGTCACCCACATCCTGTTTGTTGTGGTTGCAACCAGGAGTAGAGTGTCCAAACAATTTACAAGAACTACAAAACTTTGGCTCATTCTCAAAAAGAATTTCTTGCTTCCTCAAAATGCTATTTAGAAGCCTTATTTTTACTACCTGCACAAGCTTAATAGATGTATCAACTTCGACTAGTGCTCTTGCATAGGATAGTCAACCTCTAGTTTCCATGACCATATCGGTCGAGATGGGTTTACCCACTTTGGAGACTATCTTACCCAAAGTACTTGTGTTCTAAAACTCCAAAGGCAGTCCCAGTAAGTTGATCCAAACTGGCATAGTGCTAACATCTTTGTCATCAAAATCAAAGTAAAGGGCATGACTTTTAACATTAACGATCTTCTAAATACCAAGTAGGGACCACCATGCAACAAGATAAGTCTTTTCGAATTCGTCTTAAACTTAAACACCAACCACCCGCATGAGTGCACATAATATTTGTATTTAACCTTCCACGAATCACACAATTAGAGTAAGGTCGTTTTCCTAGAAAAAATACCCAACAAGACCATATCCCCAAGTCTTCTCGATATTATCTTCATCCGATTCGCCCAAAACCACTTCTTCCGATTGATTTTCGAAGGGCTTCAACTTAATATTTTCCTCCACTTTCTTATTGTCCTTGAAGAGGTTTACCTATGGTGCATTATCATTTTTTTACACCATCAACCCCGACAACATTTTATCCTTGTTGGTTCTTCAATTCTGTCGTATGTGACTCAAAATCAGATTTCTCAGATTCCGTATCGTCTTTCCCAAGTGTTAATGATACACTAAGCGAGGATAAATTCTTCTTATTATTCTCAACCAAACTGAGCTTCAAAGGGACGTCAACACCATTTCTAACATCCAACTACCGAACTTTCCGGGGTTTGAGAGGTGCTAGCCCAATTTCTTGCCCATTCAAAATAGAAAACGACACCACAATAGCCTAGCAAGAGAGATAGCTGGGCAAGGAAGCCCATGTCCAGATGAAAAGACCCAATGGGAAATTTAAATAACCCAAAAGACCAGGCCAAACAAGCCTAAAAGGAGGGGATTTGGGTCGGGTCAGTAGGGAATCCAGAAAAGCCAAAAAGGAAACTGCAAATAATCCATAAGGCTGCGAATTCGGAGTGCCAAACACTGACCTAAGAAAGAAATCTGAAAGGTAGGCTAACCAAATTCAAAATTCAACCTTGATTCAACCTGCACAAATACATACACAATATGCAATATGTAAAAACACCAAGAACACACAACAAAGAGAAACACCAAGAACATGAACTGGAAAAATTCGATAGCCAAGGATAAAATCCAAAACTGGACAGAAACAACCAAATAAGATGAAGAACCGTTGGTTGCCCAAAAATACATCGAAAAACTGAAGTACTCAACACCGAACTACAAGAAAAGTTTAGACCAAGTCGAACAAGCAAAAAGATAACCAAAACTACGAGCTGGAACTAAATAAAAAGACTAGTAGAAACCACAACTGCCTGAAGCCAAATCAAACCTGGAATATCCAACCGAAGTAGCCCCCAGTCCAAACCCAGCTGGACAAAACTGAGAAGCACTTGGCCGTATCTCAAGGAACCAAACACAAGTTGAAGCTAACTAGAACCCCAGTAGACCTCAAACTGCCTTGAACGAATTGTAAGGACACAGCAACCGAATCTGACAAAGGCAGCGACAACTAGACTGAAGGTAGCTTGCTTGAACATTGAACATTGCCTTGAATATTGATCGAAACTGAACTGAAATACCAAACTGTAACTTTCAAACTTAGCAAATCTGCACCTAAAGACGGATTAAAGCCAGTATGCTTAATTCAATTTTCACTGAGAAAAAGTAAAAATCGAACCAAACACATTAGGAGACTCAAGAAACAAGGCATTCAAGTGGGATTTTCTCTCACTAGAATTTAGATCTTTTCTATCTAACCTTGACTACTTGTCTTTACACTTATCAGCCCTGCTAGAAGTGGTCTCAATAGGGAAGGGAACTGAGAGGGAGGAGGTATTGGAAGGCGGGAGGTGTCCCCAAAATGCACTCATTTGAAGAGTGGCCCCAATGTCTATAATAAAAGCAAAATACTGGCCTCTTCTCACAGATCACCGACTGCCAAAAGCCACAATTATCACCTCACTCAATCCAAATTGTACCTGGTAATCATTGCTCCAAGTTTTACCTCAGTACATTACCTTGCCTTACTAGGTCATGACAAATTCCAGGTGGCCTCATCAATCCTCAATGGTATATCCCTATAGCTCTAGATAAAGTAAATAGGAACCCCTTACTACACATATGAATAGGTAATAAAGAAATTAGACCTAAACTGGAGTAACAAGCATATCATGTTTAGGTCAAAATCACATGTCCATTTAAGGACTCTTATTGGGCACCCATCAATATACCATGAAGTCTTAAGAAATAATCTAATATAGTCTTCTTCATGTGTAAGATGTATCAATATGTGTAAAGTATCACTAAGCCCCAACTCAAATCTATCATGGAAACCTAACTTTTGAAAATTCTCACTTATCTTTCTCATGATAGGCTTGCGATAGCAGAATTTCCCTATAAGCGTGAACTTGTAGTGTTCACGTAGTATAGCTTCCTTCAAATTTATCAAATCGATGGTTGGCTCATCCCAAGTATGTATAGGATTCATTTGTAATTGGTGCCTGTAAAACTGAAGTAAACGACTTCTTTGACTACTTTTTACATGAAACACCAAAGACCAAAAATTGCATTAGCATAGGTCTTTCGATGCTGATTGAGCAAAGAGTGGGCCTCATGTGCAGGGGCAAATCCAGGAGTTTGAGTAAGCACGGGCGACCGTCGACCATCTAACGTTGGTCGCAATAAAATATTAAAAATCCTTCGATATCTATATTTTTTTTTTTTGCAAAAAAATGTATTTTGGAATGGTGATTTGATGGAGAACGTGTGATTAAAAATAAAGAAAAATTTTGAATTTACGTGTAATATTATTTTATTGAAGAACGTATGCATGAAAAGATGAAAGAAAAAAGTAGTTTTAAAAAAGGGGGAATTGAACAAGGTCTAAAGTATAAATATAACAATTATTTTATTCAAACTGAATATATATAATTCTGTTATAAGAATAAATAGAATTCATCAAATAACATTGTTGCTAAATTTTGTATAATTCAAAGGAAGAGTGTGAATTCGAGTATTTAAAATTGTTTGCATCAAAACAATTAAAATCTAACAAATATCATTTTGTTAAATTTAGTAATCCAATTCAAGAGGTACCATAATGGTTAAGTTTACCACAATTATTGCTTCAGATCATGGGTTCAAATCCTCATTGTCCCTCCCTTATAGAATTTTGGTAAAAATTATAAAATAAAAATAATACATAACAAATCCATTGACAAGGATTCGAACCTAAGAGTTGATGCATATTAAGATTGACTCTCACCAAGTAAGCTACATGGGATGTTTGAGAATAAAATCAATTATAAAAAATATAATGTAAAAATTTAATCTATTAATAACAAAAATAAAAATAAAAAATCCCGGCGGATCCAGCTAGGGCGGCTGCCCTAGCTGGCCGCCCTCTGGATCTGCCACTGCTCATGTGGAAAAATCGATGCTAAATGAATCTGGATTAATTGGAGGACACCGTGGAGATTTTGTGTTGGTGCATATGGCCCACGTGTTGGTGGCTATACATCGACCCTAGGCATGTCCCTTGCCAATTTTTATTTTTTAATTTTTTATTATTTGCAAGTTGATGCGGAATTTCATGTTGATTCTGATGGTCATAGACGTGTAGCAAGTGGGGATCCATGGAAGGAGTTATGCCTCGATTTGTGGGCAGTGGCTCTTTTTTATTGTAGGCCTCAAGTGCGTTCGTCTTTGTAATGGAATTGGCTTTTATCGGTTTGGTCGGAATTTGATGGGCAACAAGATGGTTAGGCATAGGTGATGTTCAGGTGGCTAGGTTGGAAGTAATTTCTCAATTAATGTGTAATTGCACATTTTTCAATACAATAATTTCGACCAAATTGGAGGCCGACAACTCTATCCTATGGCTTTTTGGGCTTTCCGAGTTTTCGACTGATGTTTTCCATGAGTTTTCAATTGTAAATTTGATGATTTTGGGTCGGATTTTACTGTTGGTGTTTGAGGAGAAGGATTGTGGTGTGATGGTGTTGGATTTTTGTTGCTAGAGATAGAGGAATCCGGTGGTTTTGGTGGCAAATCGAGTGTATGGGAGATTGGGCTCATTTATTCCATTGTAGAGAAAATGAAGAGTGTTTTAGAGAGAGAAAGTGAAAAGGTGCAAATCGATAATATATTAATGTCAATTCTTTCTAATTATATAGTTAGGGTGGAGTTTCCCAACCTTTCATGTAGTGTGGTTATGGGTTTCTATCCTTCAAAAGTAAGATTCAGAGTCCTCATTATTTAGACAAGTAAATATGGGTCGTTCATCATCGAAACTATCGATGTTGATGTCAAAATAGTATGAGAATTTTAATAGTATTAAAAAGAAACGTTAATGTGTTTTAACATTTCGAGTTTAACATATCAACTTTTATCATCAATATTGATGTTTTCGATAATGAAAAATTCAAATTCATAATGGAGACTTTACGTTTGAAGATTATAGCCAACCCTAAAGAATCTCCTTACTTCCACATTCCAATTTTCGAAAAACGATTACTTCAAATGTAGAACCCCACAATTCAAAAAGTTTTCTTGAGCGGTAGGCGTCGAATCTCCAACGGTAACATACGTAAACACTTTTATGGACCCATCATAGAGTTAATTGGGCCCAGTTTGAGCTCCAAAGAAGAAACCTGTTTAGGTCCGAACAGAGGATGGAGGGAGAAAGCTCGCAGCCATTGCACAGAGGAGTTGATAATACCGGCTCCGGTCCATCTGCATCATCTATCCGGCTCCGGTCCAGACCGGACTCCTTCTTGATCCTCTGGCGATGCTTCAGCGTGATTACTTCTCTGGCCGCGATTCTCTGCATTGCAGTCAATGTTCTCTCTGCCGTCCGATCTTTCAAGAACGGATCAGATGTAATTTTGAATTCTTTCGCTATGTCTCAATATAATTTGTTATGCAATCTAGGTAAGTCTAAGTTTTCCCTTTTTTTTCTTTTAATTGTTGTAGATATTCGATGGAATATTCCGTTGTTACGCGGTGGTGATTGCAATGTTTGTGGTGGTGGCGGAGACTGAATGGGGATTCATTATTAAATTCTGGAAGGTTCGATTTTTGTTATCAACCTTTTATTTATTGTTCAAACTTGGTATATTGAGACTGATTCTTGCATATTGAGCTATGCCCATGTAAGGCAAATTATTTATTGTTTCATGTTGTTTTAATAATGTTTTGAGTGAGGGAATGATACATTATTCACATTTGTGCAAATGCAATTGCAATATAACTCTCCCACATTGTGGTATGACAATATACATCAAATAAGAAGTTACCTTTACCTTCTAAGCTTAATAAAGTTACTTATTTTGCCAACAGAACAAATCCGAACTTATGAAAAGTAACTTTTAAGCACAACGAGACATGCTCCTTGAGTCTCAAGATCAAGACTTTTATTTGTTTCCTTATAATTTCCACTTTTCAAATGGGATATGTATCACTGGTGATTCTGAAGTTTGCAAAAATCATATTAGGAATAACATGTAATGTGTGAACTACTTATGTTCTCTTTCTTTGCGTTGCGTGCTTCCCTGTGGTTACGCATCACTAGATGTATCATTTTTTCCCTTTTATAGAGAACAGAATAATCATTAGAAAACTAAGAGATGTAAAATTTGAAAACTATAACATAAGCAGGCTTCTGAGATCTTGGTGCATAGAACTCATCAGATGACTTTTAGACCCATCAGAATAGTAAACATTTTTGCCCCATCGTTTGCTCGCTATTAGTTAAATCATTAATAATAACAGAAAAAGGATTTAAATAATAAAAAGAAAAACTGCGTTGAAGCATATAGAGGTAGTTTGTCAGATGGGCTCGCCATTGTACCTATAGACCAGGCATACTCCACAATTTTTGGGTTTACCAGGCCAACCTATCCAAGTTTTGGTGTTTTTTATTTTCTTTTTCTGGCATCCAATGTGGGCCATGGGCCTCATCTCCTATACGGCTATACCCAAAGAGCCCACACACCGTCCCAGTGTGCTGGGCAAAATGAGGATCAGGCCATCTCGCGCCTGGCTGCCCCTGCCTTTTTCACACCCCTGCCCTCATCCAACCTACTGTTGCCCAATTTTACATTACCTTTTACATGTGGCATTTTGATGAACTTTTTGATGGAATCCGTTGCAGAGATCTGCTGGATGCAAAAGTTGAAGGTGGATACCCCTTTGCAAAGAAATATTGAATGCATGCTCATTTAGCTACATAATAGGGACTGTGGATTTTACATAGCAAAAGGTAATCAATTTAAAGAAACCAAGAATTAATAAGAACTTGGAAATGAGAGAGAAATACCACAAAGAGGTAGGCACACAAATGAAAAGAGATGAATGATATTAGACAGATTGTAGCACGGAGGAGAAAGGCGGTGAATTATGAAAGGAAAACTAGATGGGGACCTTCAAATCAGGGTTACCAGGTATTGATTGGAGAGAACAATGTAAGAACCCTGGAATCAGATATGGGTTTTGGGAGATGTTAAGAGATCACTCTACCTTGTTTTTAAACCAGTATAAAAGGCATAGAAGAAGCACATATTACTAGTAGTCTAGTACTGTATCTGTGATGTGTTGGAAAGTTTGCAATGGTTTTTGAACTGATGTTTGTTTTGGTCCTTCTCATTTGCTATATTGTTCCAGCTTAAATTGTCTGCTTGAACTTCATATAGCATTTAATATATGGATTTGAATCTTCATCACTATGTTGCAGGTCCTAGAGTATTGGGCTGGGAGGGGTATGCTCCAGATATTGTACGTTTGACTTCTAATTGAAGATTTAATAGAACAAACTCACACCTGTGCCCATCTTTCCATTAGTCTTCACTTGTTTATGAACTGAATTTTGGTTTTTAGTTAGAAGTCATATAGATCTTACATGGGGATTTTTTATTTTTATTTTTATTTTATGTTATTTTCTTTTTCCAGTGTTGCGGTAATGACCAGGGCTTATCCCGAGTACTTTGAAAAGCATCAAGAGCTCTTTCTTCTCCAGAGCGTAGCCAGCTACCTGCTTCTTGCATGTGGTGTGATTTATATTATATCTGTAAGTTCATGAATCATCATTATGATAGACGATAATTTACTTTCCAATCGGTGATAACATATCTACTTGTTAATCACTTGCTGCAACTCAGAAATATTTTTCTCTAAGTATCACCATTTTACATGTCCATAGTTATATATTTCTTTTCTTTAGGTGAATCAAAGTTGATATTTCATCTAGTTAAACGATGTGCTATTTCATTTCATGTCTAACTGTACCCATATTAATTTCAGATGCAGGGTAAATATCTTTCCAATATGTTATTTATTGTTTTTTAGGGAATATTATGCATTGGTGTTTTTAAGCGTGCTCGCCAGAAGAAAGAATTTTCTAGGGATCAAGCAATTAAGGATCTCCAGGTAACCATCTCGTGGCAAAAAGGCAAACATCATATCTACTTTATTGTGCATCTACCTGCCCTTAGTGTAAATCCATTACTGAAACATGCAGTTTTGTTCATTTTAATTGATTCTAGTTCCCTTCCCATCAAAAAATAGGAAGAAAGAAGTACAGATTAGTTTCTGGTCTAGCTGATACATGTTTTCTTCCCCTTCGTCTGTGTTTTTGCACGATATTTATCTTTCTATAACAATTATAGGATCTGGAGCGCCGTAAAGAAGAGCTCGAGTCACTGTTGATTGTAGAGGGTGCTTGAATGAGATTGGAGACTATAGACCCACAAGAACATCCCATTCTTCAAACTAGACGAGCAAGACTTTCAGTTTGAATGATAATCTAAGTCCTATTTGTATAATTGCATAATTTCTTGACCGCGATTAATTTTCACTATCTAATAGCTTACTGCTGTTTGTTGTACAGTTACATGCGTTAATCTGCAGTTCAAGTTGCGCTAACCTGATAGAACTCTGTTCCCTTTATTTATTTATTTATTTTTTGAGTTCAAAGGATCAATGAAAAAGAGATTTTACATCTTTTGTGTAACTTTGCTTGATTGCCATTTGCTTTGCTATTTGTATTTGAAGCGCCAGGCCTAACATGAGTACGAATGCATTTTCATGAAATTATTAAGGTTATCTGTGGGATTCTTTATTTGGTTTTCTAGGTTATGTGGTTGATCAAATGATTCAAATTGATCCACAATGAACTTGAAATGATTCGGTAAGTTTAGGGTTTAACCATTGTTAAGTCGTGTGTTCAATACTGCTCACTAAATGTATATTTGAGACTCATGAGAATTAGAATCGGCCAATTTCATTTTCTTTCTCCGTGGAACCATATTTGATGCATTTGTTGATTGTGGTGAGAAAAACATACACTCTCTCTTCCCCAATTCACATTTCCATTAAATGGTTCCTCTACGATGTTTATGCTGGTTGCATTTGGGAGGGTTATTTCCGTAATTAACTTTTTATAATAATGGTCTTTTGGTCCAAATGGGTTTCAACGTGTTCTGTCAAAATTAAAGTGTAGTAACAATATTTTCGTGCACGCCTCAATTTTTTAACAATTATTTTACTATTGCAAAATGAAAAACGTCATTAAAATGAGATCTTAATGAGATTCAAACAGAGTGAAAAATATATACCATGACGTTTCACATTCTAATCAGGTAATTTGAATTATGTATGACAATCCTAAGAGCCGTCACATTGATTTGAAAAAGAATAAAGATATTCGATACACTTGAGCAATACACTTACAGATACTTAGGCCCCGTTTGATTACACAAAATTTTCCATAGAACTTGAAATTCGAATTCCAACTTTCATTTTTGGCTTGTTTGATTGACAAAATTTTCTAGGGAACTGATTTTCCATGAATTTCTAGGTACAACACCTTAAAGCGTAATTTTCCACCTTTTATTTTCCTAGGATAGGTTGTTTTTGATTTTCCACCTTTTTTTTTAATTGTTGGCAATATGAACAAATTCTAGGAACAATTGTATATCCCTGAAATTGATAATTTTCATGTAAAACAAAGTCAAATGTACACCAAAATATAGATGATTTTTTTTTTTTTGGGCAATGGAAACAAATTCTAGGAAGGTAGAAGTAGATATTCCTTAAATTGACAATTTTCATGTAAAACAAAATCAAACGAACAACAAAAAACAATTTTATTTTAACATTTTTCACATGGAAAATTATACCATTCAAATACAATAATTTACAATTTGTAGGAAAATAATTTCTAGATAATTCAATTCCTTGGAATTCATTTTTTTTCCACCCAAATTTCATCTTCGCAATCAAACAGACTCTCAATACACAGAATTAACCAATATGATTTCATTATCTTTTTTAATAGAAATCAATATTGTTGAGTCCACTTGCAGAATAGCATTGAGGAACAAAACAAGAACATGGAGTTTCAAGGCTTCATGATTTCAAAATCTTAATTTATTTTCGGCCTTCACTAATAAAAAATAATTTAATGAGTAAACATTCTAAGCCAAATGTGCTTCCAAAGGAAAGAAAGGAAACATTACTCGAACAAGTTCCTGTAGGAGATATAAAAACCTGTATGTATTATAATGTCAATGTGTATTAACAGTTATGTACCCTGAGAAGGAAGAGCAGTAAAATTACATTAACAAAATGCCCTTGCTCCAATAAAACCTATTCATGTTCTTAAAGGTTTCAGAATAACGGGTCTTAACCCTCTTCTTAGCCTTAAAACTAAAAAACTAGCCGAGCTGTACATGATTCAATAAACATCTATCATAGGCAATTTGGAACGGCCTTCTGCAAAAACATCTGTTATAATATGGTTATTTCACGCTGTTCCTCAGAATAAGACGAGCTTCTTCGTTTTTTTGCAGATTTCTTTTCTTCTGTTGCTGATATAAATTGCACCGGATTCATTCTGTGACTGATCCTAGTGGTGGATTCAGCTTCTCGATAGCATGATGCCGGAAATTTATCTCTGCAGGAAGGAGGATTCCCAGTGTTACTAATGTCTTGTCTCTCATTTTCGTCCTCAGAATCCTCAACAACACATGCTGCAAGTTCTGCAAAGGACATGGAAGAGTACTCACATTTGTCCTCGTTTCCAGAATGGGTTGCAACTTCTGGGACCCAATCTTCCTCAATCTGTTCATCACTTATGATTTGAAACGCGCCACCGGAACTCCTTGAAGTTTCCAAGGAAGACTTTGTCTCCACCACTCTCAAACTACTAGGTGAACTCAGGATGATCAAAGATTTAGTGTCTTCATGGCTGTTTGCTTCATCTTCCGGTGAAGCAACTTGCTCCCCAACTGCACCCTGTTTGGAATAAGAGGTCAAAATAGGATAAAAAGCTCAGCCACAAAATACATTGTTAGCGTTAAAAGCACGTATATAATGCAATTAAACAACAAAATCTTGTGGCAAAAATCTTCATATAAAACATTAATAATCTTCAACTCAAAGGCCTGCATATGTTTGCTGTAATCAGAAAGCGCAAAGGTTCAAAGATGCCACATGAATGGAGAAATTTCAAAGTTCAAATATTCCATGTAAATAGTTGCAGGAGCTGATGTATCTGTTGCAATTTTAATTACTATGCCACAAAGACCACTTCACCACAGAAAGAAAACCACGAGAATACTGTTACTTTTAGGAATGAGGCATTTCAAATCAACATTAAACAACGCACTAATGGTCCAAGATTTTTTTTTCCATGCATTAAAAAGTAAATGCCAATTGCTCATAGAGAATTACCTCAATTGGAAATGTGGGGTTATTATATTGTTCCATTGACACCATTTGAAATATATCAACATTAAACAACGCACTAATGGTCCAAGATTTTTTTTTTCCATGCATTAAAAAGTAAATGCCAATTGCTCATAGAGAATTACCTCAATTGGAAATGTGGGGTTATTATATTGTTCCATTGACACCATTTGAAATATACTTGGATGCATAGAATCGCCATGAACAAACTTCGATTCTCCAAAAGTTTGCTGCCCACTAATAATGGAACCTATTGGTTCCCTTGATATACCGTTTTGGTTATTAACATATGGAGCATCTTTCTTGGCATTCTCTCTTACAATTTTACAGATCAACTTTCGGATATGATCACGCTTTCGAAGGGACACCTCGTCAGGTGGGAACCAGTTCTTTTTAAGCTGCAGAGGCAAATAGATGTTTGCCTAAATTATAATTTGACAAAAAATGTGAGAAGCATATATCCATCCTTTCTACTGTAATGACCATAGATAATTGAACATCAAACAAATGGACAGTACTATAGCAGTCCAGAAACATATTGTGTTAATATGGAAACTCTAGCATGTTAGAACAATTAGCTTCCACTCTGAATAAAGCTATTCAGCATCAATCGCTCAAGGGTCACTTATCTTTTGAAATGCTAACTGAAAAAATTTCTTCCTCCTACAGAACAGAAGATAACTCTCCAAGTATGAACATATTGTTACCGCAATTCGCTAAAAATTGGGCTTACAATCAGAAAGGGGAGAACACAAGACTATTCAAGTTAATGTATTAGGGAGATTAAGAGCCCATTTGGCAAGGCTTTTGAAAAGGCACAAGCTGCTTCTGAAATTAAGAAGCTCTTTCTGGTTCTGTTTGAATAATTTTCTGGGAGTGGTGTTTTATCCGGTTAGAAAAGCTTTTTAAAAAAGCTGGCCAAATGTGATTTCCTCATGGAGCTCTTTTACAAAAAGTAGAAGCCTTGCCAAATGGGCCGTTACTAATATTCGAGGTCCAGGTAACCAATGAGAAAACAACTTACAAAGTTTGGACATTCGTTTAGGGTTGTTAGGCTGAAGTTACTGGGAACCTGCTCCAAAAAAAGTTCTGCATAGTGAAGCAAGAAAAGGCCACAATCGAACCAGTTTTCCTGCTGTGGAAGCTGGAAAAACAAAACCAAAAGACTAATATTGACAATAATGATCTGTATTAATGTCCTGTATAAGGAAAGGAGGAAGATGAAACATTTAAAATGATGAAAAACATATAGCAGTGTGCATTCTTATATTTAGTAGTGGTAACTTTAGTTACATGCACCTTAGAACAGTTTGCAATCCGTATACATATAAATTGATGGCAAAAAGAAAAGTCAAAGAAAGCTATCTGTCCAGATCTACTATGACAAGAAAGCTAAAGTACTATCCACTGACATGTCTACATCTCCAAGACAAACGATGTATGTTAATTTGCGAAGATAACATTTGTTGAGAGAGTAAAAGCTACATTTACATTTTGGTACTAGTTGATAATGAAGGAGAGAGCATCTATAAACTCTAATTTTTTTATGAACACGGTAATGTTAATAAACTTCATATTCTCTTTCCTTATTCCATCTTTTATTTTCTTCTTATATTGCGTTGGATTGCCCAAATTTTCCATTGAAAATGTCATTTTTCCACCCAAATTTCTATTTTTTTTTGTTGTTTGATTGATATTTTTTCATGAAAAATATTTTCCTACTTTTGATCTTGTGACCATATTTTTCTTGAAAACAAGGAAAATATTTTCTTTAGGGGGAGTAGGTTCTTATTCCAAGGTAATAGGTTTTATTTTTTAAGTAATTCACTCAATCTCTCTCTCTCTCTCTACCTACCAATAAAAAATGGACAAGTATAATATTTCTAGATTGAAAATAAAATCAATCAAACACATTTAATTGACAATTTTCATGCAAATAATTTATAGACAATTTAATTGCTTAGAATTTATTTTCTTTCCATGTAAATTTTATGTTTGCAATCATACACACTCTTATTCTCCTCTTCAATATTCTTCAATGAAGGATGAGAAAATATGAAAAATGTACAAATTAACAATGATGATGAACAGCTCCTTTCACTCCTTTTTTCTTTATATTTGCTCCACCTTCTGTCTTCACCAAACCAGAAGAGTATGAATTGTAAAAGTATCTACACTCATCTACCACATTGAACTTCATTCTTCCACCCTTTTGGCTCAATTCCATTCCAAAAACATTAAAATGCATTC